ATATATGTATATATATATATATAATATATACAAATTCTAGAAAGTTTGGTGAGAGTTAATATTGAATAAATTTTTATTAATTTCTACAATTTTACATCTTTGGATTACGATATAAATGTAACAGTGATAATAAATGTTGAAATTTTGAATTTATATCATATAGCAAAATTTTGAATAAAAGATAAATATATAAATAATATTTTTATTAATTATATGGATAAGTTGGATAAATGTGCAAGATACTTAATATTTTCTTTCTTTTAAAATGTCATAAAAGTTATTTTAGGAGAATCTAATATTATCACAGTGCATTGTTATATATGTAAAGATTATATATCTTAACATATTTCTAGAATTTGAATATGTAAACAGAAGAAAATAATTCACTATACTCATGGCTATGAGAAAAAGGAGTGGCTCTGGTGCCAAACGTCAACATAAGTGCAAGTTAGTACCAATCTATGAGAGTTTCTTTAAAGGTGAAGACTTAACATTAGCTCATCCAAATTTCTGGAATGAACTATTCCTTATTAAACCCATGGTATGTATCTCTTAATTTTTAAAATTATTACTTAACCTATATAGAGTATGAGTTAATTATAATATTTTAGGTACCTCACATCGAAAATGAAATTCTTCATATGACATCGGAACAACTAAATGCTAGCAAAGAAAATTTAAATGCATTGGTATGCCATTGTGTCGATACATTAGTCGACGAACATCCATTTAGAATAGTATATGCGTTGCAAACTTTAGCAGCTGTTATCCAATCCATGTACAAGAAAGCTAACCAGGGAGATTATGGATTTAATTTAATAGATATTCTTGTAGGCTTCGATTCTGCAGAACAGAGGATGACAACGTTAATGCAACATTGCAATAATTTTTTAACAGGTAGATATATAATAGGCAACAATTATTAATCATTTATACATATCATACATATCATAAACATATATTAGTTTAATGTTCTCTTGAAATAGATTACAATTTTATTCGGATTTATCCCATATTCTTTATCTATTATATATATATCAATATATGTATATTATATTTTAAGCACTTTTTAAATAATATTAGCAATTATAATATTAGCAAGAAAATTAATAAAAGAATTTATGTTATTTAGGTGAATATCCAGATAGTTTGAAAGCTTTGTGCCTGAAATTGTTATTAATAATCGTTACTGGTATGGATAATATCAGCCAAAATACCTTACTGGAATATGTGATGTTAAACAGCGTTTTTGAATCGCTAATTCAAGTATGTTAAATATTTATAAATCATAATTTTTTTATGTTTATGTAAAATAAAATTTTAAATAATATTTGAACTTATGTATTAGTAGTTACATTAATAGTTACATTAATTATTATTATATAATAATAATTTATTATTTTGTATTATAGTTGTTGAGAGATACAGCTGCTAGAAATCGTCATGGTCATGATGCAGTTTTATTGTTAACACTTCTAGTCAACTACCGGAAATATGAAAGCGCAAATCCCTATATCGTCAAATTATCAATTTTGGATGATGAATTAGCCCTAAATGGATACGGACAAGCTATATCAAGTTCGTTGACGGAATTTTGCCGGCAATTTGCTCAACAAAGAGCAGGTATTCTATATAAATGCAATAGTAACATTAATAGTAGTTTACTGTAAGTATACTGTAAGTATATAGTATAATTGTTTAAATAATATGTAAACATACTTCAGAATATAATAATAATAACACAAATATTTTCAGAAATACAAGCATCTTGGTTGTCTTCGTTAACTAGTATAGTTGGTAGCATGTTTGTTGGAGAGGAAGAAGCAAAAACGCAACAAGTTCGTGCGAATAACGCTTTACTTTTAGCTTTGTATGAGGCTACACACTTAAATCGTAATTTTGTAACTACTCTGGCCTACACGCAAAGCGATACTAGTGCACCTCCGTCGCCGAACAACACTTTGGGTCCAAATGCAGTAGCTCCTGGTGCTTCACCACCTGATGTGATGGCTCAGCCGTTCAATCTATTAGCAACCTTTCTGCAGTATTGGTGAGAAGAAAAAAATATACAAATTAAAAAATATAAAATATAAAAATATAAAATATAAAAATACAAAATTATTAGTGTATGTTTAATAATCTACTGCTTAACGTTCGTAAGATATTCATTTCTATTATAGTTCAATAGTTATGCAAGTAATTCGAACGGAAGCTATAATGAACAATGTGAAGTTGTGCTTCTTGATATTAAGCTGTATCGCAGAGGACCAATATGCAAACAGTTTGATGCACGACGCGAATCTGGCATTCAGAGTTCAATTACATAGAGTACCTATGCATCATCGAAAGTTACAGGACAAAGTAGCACCTGCTCAACCACTTGCAGCCACGTTACTCGGTATTTTTTTCATATAAAGAGTTATATATTTTTTCAAAATATCGTTACATTAGAAATTAAATAAGGGTAGAGTTTATTAATAACTTTCAGCTTATAAAATATTACTTGAATATAAATTGTTAAATTTTGAGAAAAATTGTAACAAATTAAAAAATGTTTTAAAGGCTCATTTTATTTAAAATGATTATTATTTATATCGCTTCATTATAGATTTACTCGTCGAATTTGTGACATCACATATGATGAAAAAATTTCCACTTGAATTATATCATCAGTGTATCGGGGTTTTACAAAGACTACTGTGTTATCAGAAGAGGTGCCGTGTCAGGCTTGGTTATCAATGGCGAGATCTTTGGACCGCGCTAATTAATTTACTTAAATTTTTAACAACACATGAAAGTCATCTTATTAAGAAAATGAACATATTTCCTTTAGCTATTCAGGTAATGAGACATTTGAGAGATTGAATCGTCATACGATCGAACAAGATAATATTTTGACTACGTTTACTTTTTAACAGGTAGTGAACATCTTAAATTTTTTTATTACGTATGCTGATACATTCCTATCGTCACCTAATAGTTATGATGAATTATTTTATGAAATTATTCGAATGAGGCTTATCTTTACCAATCTAAATGCTATGGGTAAGTAGTGAATAATAGTATAAGAATTTTAGCACTATAAACAAAATAGTATATTTTATAACGAGAATAAAATATTCTATAAAAATATATTCTAGCACTCAGGTATTCGACTAGCGAATCATATGAGTACAAAGAACACGCGCTCAAATTAACCAATTCTCTCGTTAATGTGAGGGATATAGTAAATCATTTTCCACCAAAAATAGCTGCGTGGCTAGCGAAGGAAAGTTTGTCGACACCAACGGAACAACAAATTCTAGCTATTATAATACAGAACTATGACAGTCTCGCTTTAAAACTGCAGGATAATCTGGATCAATACGAGAGATATTCGGAAAAGCCTAATCATACTGCATTTTTTGAGGAAATGGTAATCAAATAAAATGCATTAATCTATGTCTTGCACTATGTTTTTCTTATATTATTCTTATATACATTATTTTTAGGTTACTGGAGTGATAGTGGATACGCGGGCTTCGATAGATCTTAATTCTTTAGATACGCAAACTATATTAGAAGAGCTTTCAAATATTTCATAATGTAAAAGTATATACATTGCAATATATTTTCAACATTGTGGTTATACTGCATTATTATAACACATATCCTTCTCTTGCATATTCCCAGCCAGTTTTTCTTATAAATTAATTGAAAGTTAGATATATCATCGTCAAAATATTTTAAGATTCTTTATAATTCTTTTTTTTTATTATTCCTTAAATAGCCTATATATACAGACGATCAATATTATTGCACAATATTATTGATCATGCGAAGATTATATTGAAAATTTATATTTTTTTATTTTTATTAAAAATTTAATGTGTCAATCAAAAGTTCTTTAAAATATATTATGTAATTTGTAAAGTATTGCGCAATTTTAATAATGTAATTTATTAACGCTAAAAATGAGCGTCAATCGTCATAAATTGACACTTTATAGTATTAGGCAAACGTATATTTTACAAATTGTACAATATTTGAAAGATTAATTAGTGGCATTCAGCAATATATTTACTTTGTAATTGTAGGAGGTTTTATTCGTTGAGATAGGACAATTTCTTTAGACATCTAAGAGTGTAATCCAATTGGTGCAAAGCGCTTACTAAATATTGAACGTGGCTAATGATAGGATATATTTCACAAATCTTCAATATAATTTTTTAGACGATCAATAATATTGTACAATATCAAATATTATGAAATAATATTGATCTAGGAGTCGCTCTTAAAATCTCGGGCCTTTGAACACCCGGCGCCACTTGATGGCAAGCATTCGAGCAATATCTGTATCGTTTCGCTTTAGTGTAAGATTTGAAAAGTCATGAGTGATAGAAAAATTATGTTTAGTAAAACTGAGAAGGCATTTATTCTTCAATGTATAAAAGTTTATAAGTCACTACCTGCATTATGGGATATTAAATCAAAAGATTACTGTATGGATGAAAAAATGATGCTTACAATTTTAATTAATAAATATTGATAAAAATATTCAAAAGCAGCTAGAGAGGAAGATTTTATAAATTAAGGATAAAAGAAACTAAAACGAAGCCAAATGATGCCAAATGAAATGGAATTGATACGGAAAGCCAACTTTATGATATTTTAAAGAAATGCATTTCCTTCAAGAAATAATACAAAATTCATGTAGCACAATCAATTTAAGAAGACAGAAGAAAATAATTCTGTAATTAATGTAAGTAATTTATACAAACATTTATTTGTATAAATAAATATAGTTTTTCAACAATATTTATTTTGTGAAGGAGTTCTGCTCCTGTTAAAATAATCAAAAATTATTTTAAATTTTTTCATTATATACTTGACCATTTCAATATCTATCATTATAAATTTGTAGTTAGTTAAATTAATTACATATTACAGCAAACATTACAATACTAAAAAATTTTTGTGACTATGTAGTGATTCTAGGTCAGATTTTTTTTTTTATTCAAACATGTTTATTCAAGCAATGTGGAAAATTCTAATGTTATTTAAACTCTTTAGCAATTCTTTTCCATTCTTTTGCCATATTAGAAATACATGGAAAACGTTATGAAAATTAACAATAATAGATAAGAAGAATTATGAGCCAAACAATAACTTTAATCTTTAAGAAACAATTATCAACATATTAAATATAAACACTATAGACATTTCGATAGTGATCGCGTCATTGTTAATGTTATATAAAAATTGAAATTATAAAGTAAACTTACTCGTTATGAGTACATTATAATAAAAAAAATATAAAAATTAGAAAAAAATATAAATTCCTGTATCATATTCGAAAGTCCTTGTGTTTTGTGATTCATGGTCAGTAACTATGGTACATATCAGATTATATGACGGAAATTTTAGTCATAATTATTGAGTGTTCTACTGGATGAATTTCGTTATTAAAATGTTATAATATAATGATTGTTTTTTACAGATGACACAGATATATATATAAAGAAAATGAGAACCGGAAAGAGATCAAGAAAGACAATACATGCCAAATATTAAAAGAAAAGATAACAATCAAAAAGCGAAAGAAAAATGCACAAGATAAACTTACGAGTTTTGCATACGTCTTAAATCAAATGAAAATGAATATGATAAAATTGCTAAGGCTTGGGCTATAGAACTGCCAAAAATGTCCTGAGAACAACAGATTTATGTCAAAAAAGCTATAAATGATATATTATTTGAGGGTCAATTGGGAAAGTTGCAAATCGGAATTCTGTGCAAATCGATCCTCTTATAATAAGCCGTACTTTTACACCAATATACAATTCAGATTCTACATAAAGTCCAGTGGAAATTTATCAAAAATTCTCGTCATTTTCATTCATTATCATCATATTCTTATCATATTTCCCAATATTTTTTTAAACTTTAATAAGTGTTTATAAATTTGACTGTGGCTTTCATTTAACTTTTATAAGTCAACAAAATAAAAATTCATATGTTATTTTTTACAGCAAATGTATGTATATAATTATATATTTAGTAAAGTAAAAAAATGTCTTTTATCTCTGATATCTTTCTGTATTATTGCCTTGCAATTCCATTGATATTACAATAATATCAATATTTTGAGCTGATACTTATGAATTTTAGATTTTCAAAAGAATTTTCAAAAAAGTATTGTAGACAGATGCTGATGGAATAGCATTTTGCATGTAAGTTTCAATTTTTTCGATAAGTTAAATCATAATCATCTTATCAGATATTGAACTATTTAAACATAAAAAATTTTAATTATTGTTAAATAATCGCTAACTCTTCATTCATTAAATTTTTATATGTATATTTGAATAATATAAAAGTTAATAGTAAAAAAATTGGTATTATTCACAAAAATGTACAGTTTTTACATTTGTTGTAAAGAAGTATATAATATAAATGTGTATAATATTCACATATACAATATTCACTAGCATTTCTTGATATGAACATATATACTGTATATATGTTCATATCTCTAATCTTTAACACTTATATTATCGAAATAATCATTCATCTGTTCTAATGATAATTCATGATAAGTTGAATTATTCACATCATGAATTTCAAATAAAGGAATCGATTGGGTTGCTGCTTTGCCAATGATAATTACGTAAGGATAACCCAATCGACGCGCGAACACTAATCGTTTACCAATCGTGTAATGCGTGCGATCGTCCAATATTGTATCAATATTGCGTTTGTAGAATATCTCAAATAGCTGTTCAATATAGGCAGATGTACTTTCTTCTTTGCTTCCAGCCTGTAAATTTTTTAAGATAGGAACAAAGAATATTCTTTAATAGATATACAGTAATATTTTTTATTTTACCTACCTTTGGTGATATGATGCATACTGTATACGGTGCTAACTTTACAGGCCACCTCATCTCATCATTTATTGACAAGATTTCGACAACTAATGTAATGATACGACTTAATCCTAGACCGAAGCAGCCCATTACCATAGGTGTCGGTTTATTTTGCTCCATAAACATTGCTTCTAATGGCCGTGAATATTTTGTGTCTAATAAAAATGTATGTCCTATCTGCAATTATCGTTTATGTAATGTAATATATTTTTTATAACATTCGCATCTTGTTTATATCTTTAATTTATATCAATTGTTAAATAAAATATATTTTTTACAGAAATTTTTACCTCAGCAGCAGTATATGAATGCAGTTCATTTTTACATTCTGGACAACTTGTCGTCTTAGAAATACTTTGATTAATAGAGAAATGGCATGATGGACACTGAAGTATCGTGTCTTCACCGATATCAGACATGTAATGATATTCATGTGACATTAAACCTCCAATTGTTCCCACATCACCTATGCCTTTTAATAATCATTAAATAATTTTATAAGGTCGTTCAGTTGGTAACTATATATCTATAAAATACATAGATTTTAATACAATTAGAAATGTTAATTACTTTTTGTATACTTTATACCAATCTGCCTAAAAATATTATTATAAGACTCGCAGACTAAATCATACGTATGTCGTGCATTGTCCAAGCTACTATCAAATGTGTATAAGTCCTTCATGATAAATTCTCGACTACGTAGGAAACCAAGCCGTGGTTTCATTTCGTCTCGCCATTTGCTAGAAATTTGATATAACTTCAAGGGTAATAATTTAGTGGAAATCTGGACAGTTTGTCCTGCTGACGATATCAAATTACAGATTGCTTCTTCATGTGTCTGTAACAACATAAAATTATTTGAGATTTCAGATAAACAAAAAAAATGAATATATTATATTGATGTAAAAGATTCATCTTATTAACAGCTTTTAAGTAATTTCTATTAATCGAAATAATAGGTTAGTTTTTTTAGAAAATTAATTTTTCAGTTTTTCTTCAAAAAACTCAAAATTTTATCTGAAGTAGTACTTGATAGAGGAAAATGTTTTATAATATTTCTTACTTACTGGACTCAATATATACTCTTTCTTGTGTCTATCTATAACTGTAAACAATTCGGTTTTATTGGAATCATATCTATCAGTTTTCTTCCACAGTGCAGCAGGAGTTAATGCTGGAAGTAGTATTTTTTGTGCGCCAATATTCATCATTTCTTTGTCAACAATATCAATTAATTTATTTAAAATTCGCATTCCTAATGGCAATAAAGCATACATGCCAATACTAAGTGATTTAATAATTCCACAATTGATCATTAACTGAAACAAAAAAATTAAAAGTCTTTAAATTAAAGAAAAAACCTATCATTTAATTCCAGCATTTTTTTCCATTTGATGACACAAGTGTCATTTTATCTTTATTAATCATTGAATGTCAAGAAAGATAGAATATTTATATTGACTTGTGTCACTAAATGGAAAGTACTTATACAAAAATTTAAAAAATCTGGAATTAAATACCTAATATTTAAAAAAATACTATTAATTTTTAATAGTAAATTTGTTCAAAAAATTTATAACTTTTGTTAGAAATGTTTTATCATTATAATTATCAAGTAAATAGTTTTTATCAATTAAACATTGTGAAAAAATTATTTATACTTAAAGTCCGTTTCCACCAATGTAGATTAACTTTAATCTCGGTTCAACTTACTCTTTGTCTAATTTTGAAGATTAGAAAGAGACGAAGAGTAAGTTGAACTGAGATTAAATTTAATCTACATTGGTGAAAATGGGCACTAAATAAGTCTCAAAAAATATTTAATTAATGTTTAAAAAGGTATACATACCTTATGACTTTTAGATATAATATCTGTCTTTTCTATGCTATCGAACGATCCGCTCGTTCCTTGAAATATTCTGGACATCCTAGCCAGATTAATAATTTTCGTTTTACTTGCCATTTCTGAAAATGTTTATACAACAATACACCGGTGGATAACCGGTCAATCATGACCGGCACATGTAACGGATAATTTCCTTTCTAACCCATTGAATGTAGCTGCAGATTCATTCAATATTCGATCATAGGGCGGCGCTAAATACACTACAATATATTATTTTTTTAAATGTACGTATCGTAGCGTCATTCAAAACATTTTACATAAATCAACAACAAGATATTTTAAATTTTAAATTTTAATGACATTTTTATCATAAATCAAAAGTAAAGAGAACATTATAATTATTCGTTTTAACTATTCTGCTATATCAATATCTCTTATATATTCGAAACAAGAAGGATGTTTATTCAGCAGTGCAGTTAATACATTATTTGCTTTTCTAATGTTTAAATGACATTTATGACAACATTGACGTCAAAATAATGTACTTAAGAAAGAACAAGGCCAATTATGTAATTTGAAACGAGATAAAAATTACAAAAGTGAGCGAATTTAAGAATATATTTTCATTGATCAACTCGTAGTATGAAATATTTTCTAAAAATTTTATTGTAAGATTTGAAATATTTAATACATTTTTTATGAATAATTTTTGAAATATAAATATATCTAGAAAATCAAAGTTTTGAAATATTCTTTTCTTACAATATTTCTACAATATTTCTATTGGTTCGTGCCGATGTTAAAGGAAAATTGAAACGCAGAAGATTTAAATTTTAGTATACATTTATTAAATTATATAGGTTAGTCGGCACGAACTTTCTGGACAACCCAATAAAAGATTTTAGTGAAATATTTTAATGCAGTATTTTTAAATGTTTTACAAATTAAATCTGCGTTTATGAAATATTTCTAATATATTTTATTGAAATATTTCAAAAAATGATTCACATAAATATTTCATAATGTGTACTAAATTTCATTTTTATAATTTTTACTTCGTTTCGAGATACACAATTAATCGACCTAATTAACATGCGATTATCGCCGCAAACCTGTTTGTAAACACGCCTTCAACATATCCCTCTTCCTCTCGTTTCCCGCATATAAGTTGAGTCGACCAACATTATCGCATCGCGCGATTGTACGCTAATTTCGCTCCGTTCACCCAGAATCGTAAAACTCTATCACAATCTGAGTATATACTAATATTCTGATTATTTTATCTTTATTGTTCACCGAATGCTGAACAAAGTTAAAAGATATTCGGAGTTGACAGTTTTGGAACGCATCTCAGGCGATTCCGTCGCGGTGCTCGTCGCCCGTCGCACATTTTATTTCGGTCCAGTTCGGTTTGGTCCGGTCAGTCAGACCTCACAGTGAGTCAGTTAGTCGCGAGTCGAGTCGCGTCGCCGGTAGCTGTAAGAATAGTACGTGCAACGTGTGTGTTTAAAATTTTCGGATCGGAGTCGTGCGGATGCGCTCATCTTCTCCGTCTCTTGTTGTCCCGGCGCCTTCCAGTCGTTGCCGTCGTCATCGTCGCAATACATATTCATACGAGGACCTGCACATCACGACGGGCACGCGATGTCGAGGGACGAGCCGTTTCACAGCCTTTTCACAGCGACGGACAGTATCGACGGTATCTGGCCCTTCCTGCAAAGCGTGAGTTTCACCGTCTCTTTCCTTTCTCTCTTTCTCTCTCTCTCTCTCTCTCTCTCTCTCTCATTTTCTTCTTTATTCTGTCTCTCTTCTATACTCCTCCGTTTCGTTATTCCTTCGTTTTGTCGCGGCATCGTTGTTTCCAGTCCCGCGGTGACAGTTCCTCGCCAGTCTCGTCAAACTATTTTTCTTTCTCTTTTTTTTTCTCGAGCGGGCATCTGGATCTTGCGACAATGACATCAGCCGACCGCCTATTAAATCCAAATTTTTTGATCACGGCTGAAAAACTGGAGTCGCTGCTCCAAAAATCACCGACGCAGTATGATTACGTGGGTTCGTCGTTTCGTCGCGATAATTCTCGCATCGCTTTGACACTTGGTGTCAAAAATGTATATATATTGTACAAGACGCTCATCTTCTCGAGCCAGTTACACTCGTTCATATCATAATCGGGATTACGCTAGTGATACAGGGAGATACATCACGTCGGGATGCTACCAAAAGCTTTTTACAGTCCTTTTTTTTTATAGTCTTTAAACTTGTGCTTTTTCTATAGGATTTAAATTAATTACTAAATAAAAAAAAAATTAATTAAAGAGCTAATATATAATACGAGCCAGAGCTAGTTGTTTTGCTAGAATTATGTAATGGTTATCAACTTTAATTTTTTCAATAATTTTTTTTTCAATAGTTAGTGTTAGTTTTTCAATAGTTTTATCATTTTAGTTTTTATTTAGTAATTTTAATATAAAGTTTTTAAAAATAGTTTTATAGTTTTTTAATTTAATAGTCTTTATTTAATAGTTTAATTTTTCATTTATTTAATAATTTAATGTCTTAATTCAATGCTTTTAGCATTAAATAATTAGCTTTGGTCCGTACAGATTTTTAACATTTTTTTATTTGCAATACGTTTTTAATTTAATAATTAATTTAAATCTTTTAATTAATTTATTTTGATTTGTAATTTATTTAAGCTTTAAATTATCATCGTATTGTTAAAAATATATTATTCACGAAATTTGGAGGAAGAGGAAAAAGAAGAAAAGGTACGGAAGAAGAAAAGTGAGGAAAAGTTAGAGCAGACGTTGCATCTTGTGATTGAAAGATAAGAATAGAAGAATAGAGAAGCGCGAGGCAATTAAAAACGGACTTTCTACAATGTTTTTCGGCTTATAATCCAGAAGAGGAATCGCTGAACGCACCTCATAAAAAGAAAAAAAATATAAAATTACACAGCAACGAATATGAAAATTATACGATTCACTGAAGGTGAAAATGTATGCATGTTTATACGATTTAGAATAGAAATTTATATCTATCGCACAATTCATCACGAAAATGTGCTCCTTTTCGTTCTGAATTCTTATCATTTCCATTTTAAATTCACTATAAATGCGTTCTCATTATATGAACTTAAATTCATACAATTCCATTAATGCGTTTCTGTCAATATAGATTGACTTTAATCTTGATTAAACTGATTTAACTTACTTTTTATCTCTTTCTAATTCTAAGAATGAGAACTAGAGAGCAAAACAAAAAACGGCATAAAATAAAAATAGAAATCAAGCGTGGAAATAAATGCATATAAATAAAATAAAGAAAAGGATAAAAAATAAACCAAAATTAAAATTAATCTATATTATACATTGGTAGAAATGGGAGCATAAATCGTATGAACTTCGTGTTAATGCCCGTTTCTACCAACATAAATTAATTTTAATAAACTTGATTCAACTTGTGTACTTCATCTTTTCCTAATTCTAAGAATTCGAAAAATGTGAAGTACAAGTCTTTAGAATTAGAAAAAGATGAAGTATAAGTTGAATCGAGATTAAAGTTAATTTACATTGAATAAAATGAACATTGCTTTATCTTTTTCTATTTCCCCGAAAAGAAGAGTTAATTGAATCAAAATTAAAATTAAACTGTAGAAACGGGTATCAAGCAATATGTGTAGTAATATGTGTAGTAATATTTGCATATTATCTGTATATCAAAATATGACATCCTCACATTCCAGATTCCTGCAGACCGATGGCGTGTAATTCACATTCGCCGGCAACTTTCATTTTCGACGCGGTCGGCGGCGCCGGCCGTTTGAATTCGCGTTATATACATATACATTATTGACACATCGAGCTTTGAAGATCTATCCACGAGTCCTTTATCTTATCGTCGACGTCGCGTGCGCGACGAGACGCGAATTAGACGGGAAGCGTGAATAGAAATCAATCTGTTTCAGCCGATACCGCGACCTCCTTTTTCGTCCTGGACGAGGAGGTGGCGGCGAAAAATTGCCGATTATATCTTCATCTCTATTTTCGTCATGGACACGTTTCGTTCTCAAGGGCGTCCTGTTGCCGAGACTCGTGCAGTCCCTCACGAAAATGCTGCGTAATTCAGTCTCCAGAATCTCTCTGGATATTTTTAAACGGTTATCGCGTGTTGCGAATGTTGCTTTCGAATGTTTTTTTCAATCCTTTTTCTTCGTAAAATTATCTTGTGCGAGTAATAAAATCATTAAAACGATAAAGGGAGAGGGGGAGAATAAAAAACATGTATTGGGATAAGGTGCTACAATTTCGAACATGGTGCAATTCTAAGTGAATGAAATAATTTAAATCTAATTTTTGACAATATAATTGGATCAGTTTACAGAATAAATCTCAACTGGTTAAAAAAGGAGCATTAAAGCCTACACTGGGTCTTTCAATTAAAACATTTCGACCTTCTATTAGATCATCAACCTAATAGAAAATTTATAAATGACAATTAGAAAAATTGAAACTTATTGTACATATTGAAGATTATCTAATAGAAGGTTTCTAATAGAATCGAAACGTTTATGTTTGCAATATTTATGATTAAAGTAATTACTTAAAAAGAAAAATTTTATTATACTTAGAATCAGTGTAGGCTTTAATGCTCCTTTTTTAACCTGCAGTCTAATTCTTGGGTTTAATTTCTTCCTGTTTGGTGGTGCCTTTTGTACACTTCACAATGAAATGAGGATTGTCAAGCTTGAACTTCGAGATTAAATAAGATTGGTATTCATAATAGTTTTTATTTTAAAACTATCTTAATATCTTAAGATACTAATATAGCTCTCTAATTAGTTTATGATATCTTATGATATATCAAGATTATACTTAAAATAATTTTAAATAGAAGAATCGAGTGTGAATATCTCGGTCTAAATCTTATTTTGTTCAGAATTATATCATATTCAAAATTGGAATGGACCTTATCCGCTTCTTTCGCTTTTGCAGTTCTGCTAAACATAAAATGAAAGGATATTTTGGGAGATAAGATTATAGCACAGTTTTCCTATTTAAAGATTAGGTTTCGATTCAGTTTCATTTACTTCAAATTAAAACATTACGTTCAGCAGAAAAAGCAGTCTTGCAACTGTTGTAAGATTCTTCAACGGGATTGGTTCATATATTTAGGTCTGTTGAGGAATTATATATAAATAAATGCAAGAATTATAAATGCAAGAATCAATTATATCAAAGACTTTTGCTCAGTTATATTAAAAAACCTTGCAGTTATATTAAAGAGTTTTGCAACTGTATTAAAGAACTCTTTAATATAACAATAACAACTTGCTACTTTTATTAAGCGCTTTTATTAACGTATTTTATGTGGATATATTGTTGCAGATCGATTGGAGGGATCCATGGCTAGCTGCGCTATTGACTTTTCATATTGCCGTCACAATGACCGCGTTAATGACAAGGAACCACGCGAATTTTCAGATAATCCTGTTTCTCGTGCTCTGTAAGAGTCTATTGTAATTTATCGTGGATTTTGCCTAGTTACCACAATGTTATCACAAACTCTGTTTCTGTTTCAGTACTTCTGGTTTATTTCTCAGAAAGTATTAACGAGGTTGCAGCAACAAACTGGATGTACGTATTCTATCGCGACCGTGGCTTGTCAAAGCGGTTCTTTTCTCTTTCCTCCGGGTTTTTCCTTTTAATAATCTCCTTGATAACTTTCACAGGGTATTTTCTAGACAACAGTACTTCGACTCACAAGGCTGGTTTATATCCATCGTTTTCTCCGTGCCCATTTTAATGAATTGCATGATCATGGTGGTGAGTATATTAGCTAAATTAATTTCGAGATTCGATTTTGAACGAATATGCATTCTAAAAGTTCGACATGTGCATATAATGTTATGATCTTTCAGGCCAGTTGGCTTTATCAATCCAGTCAATTAATGACGAGCCTGAAGCGAGCTCAATTGCGGCAGCAAGCCATAAATCGCCAAACAAACGGTGAGGCGACGAACGAAAGAACGGTTGTCCGACCTCGCCAATCGGACGGTGAGGCGACAAATGTAAGAACAGCTGCCCGACCTCGCCAGTCGGACGGCGAGGCAACGAATGAGGTAACGGCTGCCCGATTGAAACACGAATGAAGATCCAAAGATCTAGTCATAACACGCGGCGGAACGAGAGTGCAAGACATATGTGCTATTTAATTTAAGGACAAGAGAGAATTATATTTACATCGACTTACAGCTAGATTTCACAGAGCGCTGTGTATTCTTAGCCATTGTCGACTTGGTAATCGTTCTGAACTCGACCGTGAAACGCCGATTAGCCAGTTTGATATTACACGCGAAAACTTGCGCAACAGAAAAGGGAGGGGAAATAAATAGAACAATACATCGGTACAATCGGAATGATAATGCACGAGTTGCCTAGTCAAACTCTCCGTTAGAATGTACCTCTCGACATCGTGCCGTATTACACAACGATTTTATGGAATTAACCATTTCATATGCGAAACGCAACTGGATTGATGACAGATAATCGGCCATGCTACGAACAATAACTACGCAGAAGGAGCATGGCAATGCGGCAAGCCACGTGCTTGTTCTTGTCTTATCATTTAAGGCCGACTTTGATCAAAAAATGTAGTCGTAGCTATCTTTCTTTAGCAACTGTAACCTTTAATTTTTCTTTTAACGTGCAGCGAAAATAGAAAAAAAAGTTAACGATTCTGCTTAATTGAGCTAAAAAAAAATTTAATATATTCATCATATCGCCGGAGGCAATTAATCGGAGCTTGGTCAAGGTCGCCCATAAAGAACATTCCACTAGTTTATTCACATTGTTTTGATATTCAGACACTGATCGTGAAAATCAAAGTGTTCTTAATATGTGTAATTAACGTACTTATTATAAAATAGCGCAAGCACGTTACTTTCACTGTAATAGCTCCGCTGTAAAGAGACATAATGTATTAATTAAGGACTTAGATAACACAATAACATCTGTGTGAGTGTGTGTGTGTATGCGCGAGGGAATTTTGCGTGAGTTTTGCAAGTGCAGGTAAGCCTTCCACGACTACGAGTCGTGCTTCACGATTTTGACGAAGGAACATAGGATATCCCAGGATGTGGTGTGTTGTATTGTTTTCAATTGTATATTGTATATTGATGTAAATCAAAGCGCATTACTTTGCCGCCTTTATATTTAATATAACGCGTTTAATCGTTTTAAGATAATAAAAGAGTATTTGTTCATACAAGTCTCGCGTTTTGCTCTTCTTCACATTTTTCATTTGCCCTCCTTTCATAACGCTGACTCGGCAAATTGCAAATCTTATTAAATGTACTTGAGCGTGTACGGATTCGTTTTTATATGTTTTCCTACGTAAGTATCATTACAGATGACTCATGCAATGCGATACAATTTGTTATCACTATACGAAGTACTATTGGCACGCTTAAGATAATAAATCTGAGACAATCATCATGGTAATAACTTTCAGTTATAATTACGTTTTATAGATATTCTGATTATTTTTTAAACCCACTTTACGATTTGAGGATCGAAGTCTGATGTGTTCTAACTTTTTATACAGAATATTTTAATGTACAAGATATATGTACTATTTTAACATATATTTTATATATTATTTAAATATATGCGTAATGCAATATATATCAAAATTACACACGTTTAATAGACTATATATATATTATTTTATTTTACTTATGGATAAAAAAGTTAATTAATTCTTAAACATAAATTTGTAATAAATTAGTTTATTTTTAAAGAACTAGTTTTACTTAAACTAGTTTTATTTTTAAAGATCCAATAGTTGCTTGTGTTTTTTGACCTTTCTAATTATTAATTTTTTAGCAATTTCGAGCTAAATATTTTACATATTTTAATTTTATTTAAGTATTCTAACTTCGATTCTTTTTCGCGCTTATGCCGCATATAAATAAAATAATCTTTTGAATTTTGACATTCTGAATTATAAATGTAAAATGGATTTAATATTTTATTAATAATATGCTATTTTAATAATAATATGCTATTTTAATAATGCTATTTTATTAATAATATTACTATCTAGACTTATACATATTTCAAAATCATCTTCTTCGAGGAAAATTTTACGATATAATATAGTATCGACATAATCAAGAGACACTGATAATGTCTCGGTACTAAGCCATGCGCAGTATAGTATACATTACATGTATATATTATATACAGGGTATTTGATAAGCAATGATAAAACTCATATAGGGGTAGAGCGGACTAAACTGAGTCAAAAAGTCCTCCATTTTGCAATCTCGCAACAGTTAAGATATTAATTATTAAAAATGATCGAATATTGAAAATTACATAATATTCAATAATTTTTTACTCAAGTTTTACTATCAACTTTACAGAAAAACAGCAAGAGACAAAAATAGATTTAGAACGGAATAAACTGAGTCGAAAAGTCCTCTATTATTTTACAATTTTCGCAATAGTTAATAAGATATTAAATATTAAAAATCGCCGAATTAATTTTTATTAATTTTTTACTCAAGTATTATCAACTTTATAGAAAAATAGCAAGAGACAAATGTTTATTTTCTTCTCATAGAGCTCTAAGAATTTTTTCAAAATTTTTTTGTCAATTTTTTTTTGTTAATTTTTTTACTGCATTTTCTTATTGGAAACTATTTTTATCAACATGAGAAAATGCAGTACTAAAAAATTCTGAAAAATTCTCAAAATTCTGAAAAGAAAATAAACATTTATCACTTGCTGTTTTTCTGTAAAGTTGATAGTACTTGAGTAAAAAATTAATAAAAACCAATATTCAGCGATTTTTATAGTATTTAATATCTTGTTAACTTTGCGAAAATTGTAAAATAGTAGAGGATTTTTTGACTTAGTTTATTCTATCTCTATGTGAGAGTTTTATCGTTACTTATCAACACCCTGTGTATCAAGTAAAATTTTTTTGGTAAGAACGTTTTGTAATGCAATCCTAAATAACATTGAATGCGTGAGAAACCAAAATTGTATTATCCATCGAAAAAATTCGCAATTGCGGCTATGTAGTTCACTCCTTAAATACTAGGGGAGCTTGGATTTAAAAGATGGCTGCACTCAGTTTCTTTTTTATAACAGAATGTATCTGTTGAATGATAAATTATAAGAATGTTTTTCTTTAACAAAAGTGTGTGATATTCAATAATTCGACGGTATTTAATTTAAATTACTTGACGCTGATGCGATAACAGAACTGACAGGTATCGAACATGTTTCAACGTTGTTGCTCACTCGTGTTGACAGCACGACCGGTCGCGGTAGATTTAATTAGATTTGTCTCAAGAAGCGGTGGGTCGAGACAATGTGTGTCGAGGAAGCTCGAAAGAGATGTCGAGAGAGCCTCCTCTAAATCGAGTGTCTTGTCAGAATCACCAAAAACCGATGAAAATTATGCGCTAGAACTGCGACTTAACCTGAACAATAATGCAAACATAGCTCGCGAGGACTATCTAGATGATAGTGACATAAAATTGCCGCATCCTCTGGATATTTGCACCGAAGACCTGTCAGACATTGGTCCGCCTCTTACTCCGACCTTCAGTTTCGCTAAATATGCGAACAAGTCCTGCACAATCCGGAAGCTGGTAGATCTTGGAGTCAGTTTGTACAAGTTTGAAACAAAAGAAGGGATGGTAGAATATATCCTGAACCTGGACTTCGATCGAGACGTGAAACCATATATAAGATTCCTGCATGACTGTGGAGTACCTATGGATTACTTAGGTACATTCATTACAAAAAATCCAAACATCTTCAAGGAAGACATGGACGATCTGCACACAAGAATAAGATACTTGAGAGCGCATAATTTCAATGTGTTGATGATAAAGACGATAATCTGCAAGAATCCCAACTGGCTCTCGTTCAGTACAAAGGATATAGATGGCAGGCTCGGTTACTTCCAGAGCAATTTTAAGCTATATGGCAATGAAGTCAGAAACCTAACAGTCAAGGGACCCAAAGTAGTAACATTTAGGATGATACATCTAATGGAAAACACATTCAGTATAAGGGAGGAAATGGGTTTCGATCAGATGCAAGTGAAGAAATTGCTTCTCACCTTGCCTAGACTATGGAGCAAGAGTAAGTGTATGCAGCAATATAATTTTAAAATTCGTGAATAAATTTATCTCTTAAATTATGCTTTCAGATCGTGACAGATTGCTAAGTACGTTTGATTATGCTCACAACGAAATGCAGTTGCAACATGATTTTATTGTACGGATGCCACATATTTTACTTTGTCGAAAAACTAGACTCCAACAAAGGCATTTGTTTCTGGTGGAAATGAAAAAGGCACAGTATAATCCTTCTAAACCAATGTATGTTTCACCATTGGCCTTAGTAAGCGGTACAGACATTGAGTTCTGTAGAGATATCGCAAAGACATCTGTTGATATTTATAATGCATTTCTCAAAACATTTTAATTATAATATAAATGTAAATAAATGTTAATAGATACTTTTTCAAATTATTTCTAAAAATTATTTCTGATATTCCTATTTCCATGAGAATTCAATAGATTTTTATATTTTACTGATTTTTATGTACATCACATATAAATAGGTTTTTACATCGTTAAAACTAAAAAATTATCGCCTTTAAATAAAAAGCAAGTAAAGCATTTATCATATTAATAAGTTATATATAATTTCTTTTTTACATCATATAAAAAGATATTTCGTAAAGTATTCTCAATTGTACTTATAACGCTAAGTATTTAATAATATATTTAAGATACTTTTAATATAAACGAGATGAGAATAGTCACACTGAATAAAAACAGTACAATGAAAATGCATCATTGTCCAGAAAATTCGATTTTCAATAGAAAATCGAGTGTGTTTAATAATACTTCTTTTTAACTAATCCTAGTTAATCTGATTATCCATCTAAGGCCGTTTTGTCACATCAACGATTATTACTAATTCCAATCCATTTTCAGCGACTCACTTATTTAAAGACAATATATTCCGAAATTATTTGAACACTATTATATCGATGAAAGAAGAACAAAGAATCGGAATAGGATAATCGATGCTGTTGCATCCAGATTCAAAGTGTTTAATTGTACTTCCCTAACTCTATCTTCCTTTGTATCGCACGTACCGAATGATAGAGCAGCGAATCGATCAGACCGGCCACAGTGAACACACCACCAATGATTGCGCAAGTGTTCGTAGCAAAATGCCCGAATGAGTTCGCCTTCTCCGTGTACTTTACCATGAGCGGACTCAATTCGTAGTTGAAGAATATACCCGGCATTCCAGATTCGCCAGTGAGCAGGGATACCTTTTTCGAGTGTCGCGTTACGGAAAACTGATTTGTGAGAAGCGTCGAGCCATCCGCGCGAACATACGTCGTTGGGACAATCTTGATGTAATGATAAAACATCATAGCGGCTGAAAACAGAACAATAATGTCATATATTGACAGAAAAAAATCAGACGGATCTTCTCAATATGCGATTATAATGTGTGTGTGTGTGTGTGTGTGTGTGTGTGTGTGTGTGTGTGTGTGTGTGTGTGTGTGTGTGTGTATGTGTGTGTTGTGTTGTGTGTGGGCGGGCGGGCGCGCGCGCGCGAGGGAGAGAATTATGAAAAGGGATTTGAGAGAACTTGTTTGTAGATTTAAATCCCCAATTTTGAAAAAAGAAGTAATTTAAAAAGTTCCTTAACTATTTACTAAAAACTGAAAGAATTCTGAATTATATATCATTTTTTAAAGGGATTTTAATATCTTATATTCTATAAATAATACATTTCTTAATTTTTCTCTGAAAAAATTCTACATTTCGCTAAATTAGTACTCCAAAATTCTAAACATATTAATATGTTCATGTCTTCCTTTTTCTATTTTTATTTAAAAAAAGGAAGTATATGTGAATGTAAACACTTCAAGACAATGCTCAGAAATTATAAATCTTAGCATTCATAGTTAGTTCTTAACAGTCATTATTGAGATCCGATAACCTCGATCTGATGCAACTCACTGATTCGCGTAAAAAGAGCCCATTCTACATTAGACGCAAATTTGTTGTGACAGCCAATCTGAAGCTAGTATTTCGAAATTAACGCGAGTTTAAAGGATGCACAGCAGTGTCTCGCGCTATGCTTAGCGCCGAGACACTACCTGTGTCTCTAGATATTTAAGGCCATTTTAAATACAGTCTCAAAATCGTCAATCATATTTTAAAATCATTTTAAGTAATTCTTAAGACATTTTTTAAGATGCTAATACAGTTCTGACTAGTTCTTGACATCTTAAGACAGTCTTAAGACAGTCTTAAATATAAGAATCAAATATGAATATCAACCAAAGTCACTTATTAATATTAAGACGGCTTTAAAATAAGAATAAATATCAATTTAAGTTTTTCCAAAAAACAAATTTTATATACGTGTTTCATTGATATGTAATTGAAATTTGCCGCCACGGATGACGGAATGGAAACAGCAGACGGCGCAACTGTCTTTTCGATCACGTTGCAAAACCATCATGGCCGTCTTCTCGATATTGTAATTCTGCAATGCATTGAGAAATTCCGGCAATTGCACAAAAATTACGATCAAACATAAAATTGAAAAGTAAGAATAATATCACTCTCGATCGACCGCGCACGCCACAAGATTACGTAACAGACACTTTAACAGTAAGTGTGTGCACAATAAACCTTGTATGTATCAATATAAACTCCACAAAAATATTTAATTCTATTCAAAATTTGAAGAATTTTTCTATTTATCATAAATGAAAAACTCGCAAAGCTGTTCAAGAAAAGTGTTCAGTTTATTAAATTTTCTCTTTATTTTGAAGTTATTGTTACTTAAGATCAAAAGCTATAAAAAAAGATAGTTTATGGAAAGTGAAACAAATAGTGGCACTACAACTGTTTTGTAGGCTGTATGATGCCAGTAGTACCTGGAGGGGCCTACCAACAAGGACCAACTTGTTTCGATAGAATGAAATTAGGTTTCACAATTGGATTTTGCGTAGGAATGGCCTCTGGTGCGCTCTTTGGAGGATTTTCTGCTCTTAGGTATTTAAAATGCATGAAGAAAATACTGGTACATACGCATTAGAAAATTTGAATATAATTATGAAACTTTTTTCAGATATGGACTAAGGGGAAGAGAATTGTTAAACAGCGTTGGCAAGGTAATGCTTCAAGGTGGCGGCACATTTGGTACATTCATGGCTATCGGAACAGGGATACGATGTTAATACACGAGTCAACGTGAATGGAGCTATGTTATTGAGTATCTCGCAGCCTATATTTTTCGTTGCACTGTTTGTATTGTAAGCGCGAGTTATTAAGTCTTTAATAAAAATAGAATTAAGGATTTCAAGGACATACCATCCATGTCGACCACTGTCATGCCATCCATAGGATTTGTTTTCCCTGGGATGTTAAGCCCAAAACTTAAATGTCTAATCTTGTGCGTCATATTGAAATGGGATGAAGTGTAAGGCTGAACGTCGTGCACTGTGGCATCAAAGAACGAGCTTATAAGAGCATGATACTAGAAATATTGTTTTAAAAAAAAACTTGAATTTTATTAGCTCACCATGAACGTGATTGACCGAAAAGCTGGCGCCTGGCGCGATGTGAAAACTACCACCGACTCTATTCACTTCCATATAACCATAGATCTGACAGCCTTGCGTGAAGGCATGCTTGAGTTTATCCATGGATTTGTCATTTTGACACTGTTTAACCTCAGCCGGATCCGGCGGAGCCCACTTTTTTCGTCTATAAGCCTCCCATACATCCTCGCAGGTATTGCAACATCTGTGAACAAATGAAATTTTATAAAATGTAGGTTTGATAGATTTCATCTTCTTAATAGAAAAAGAAAAAATATTATTTAAACTTTTAGAGTGAATTTCACTCTTTAAAGTGAGATTTTCAAAGAATTTAGAGAGTAAACTGGAAGAAGTTCAACTAAAAAGAACAACTAATGTAATCTACAATGTACTGTTTGCTTGTTTCTTATTTTTTATTATTTTTTACCTCTTCCTTTTTTTCTCTTTGCGACTTTTATCGATAATCATTTTTTTTTATCTCTTCCAACTTTATCAATTTCTTTTCTGGGCATCTATCATGAAACAAAATCGAAATGGATTCCGATCGGAATCCATTTCGACTTTGTTCTATGATAGGTGCGTAAAGTAGCGATCATGTAACTTTTTCGCTAGAACAGAAACGTGAAAAGTGAAAATTTTTATGTATGTATGTTCGTATATATGTCCTATGGAAAGTTTCATGATTGCTATCCTGATTATAAAATAGAAGAAACAGGATAAGAAGTAAAGAGATAAAAATGGATAAAAAAAATAGGGAACAGAAAGCAAAGAGCATTGTAGATTAATCTTATGAATAAACTCTACTGCAAATAGAATACTAATAGAATTATACTTCAGTGTATTATACTTTCACTTCCTAATAAAAATGGGATCTTACTTCATAGTGTCTGTGGCTGCTCCATAGCAATCTCCACAGAGTTCTGTAGTAGAACCGATCTCCACTGCCTGTAAAAATTCTATCTAATAACAACTAATTTCCAAATGGAAATTTCAGTTAGAAGATACCTATAGAAATCTTGCATTACCTTTTCTGTAGTTTTACTCATGGCCTTTGCATCTGTAATATCTATAATAAAACATTTTTTTATATGGCATTGTATATATTTTAGCTGGTATTGTATATATTGTAAAGAATATTATGCTTACTTGTCCTTTGTGGATCTTCTATAGGGTTACCGTTCAGGTCTAACCGTCTCTTAAAAATATTGTGCTCTATGTGCAAATGCTGTTCACCCGTTGTATCCATAGCATCTAACGATAAAACTGCAAAACACTGAAATGACTGAGACTGATATCATTCTTCGCCTATGTACCGGTGCAATTTATACTTACGATCACAAGATATAGCGGGAACTATTATATCCAAGTTGATTCTCAATTTAGAACCTCTGGATGTGTCTACAAATAATTCCTCGTTCATAGTTGGTGTAAGATAATAGTTTACCTCTGACAAAAATAGTATGCCCATGATGATTGTACTAATGATTGTAACTGAAAAGGCATTATTTCATCATTTGCATTGGTGTAACATGAGATCAATTCTTAGGTTCTTAAGCTTGTTCTTTTTAAATGAATTTTTGCATTAGTTCATCTTCTTCTTCTTCTTTTCTCCTAAAGAGAAAAGGAAGAAAGATGAACTGCAAAAGTTAAAAAACAGTCAGCTAAAAAAATACAGGCATCTTATCAAGCATAATATATGTCAAATTGCGCTTTATTTACTATCAGCCAAGTGTAAACAAATAATTTTATTAACAACATCAAGAAACATGTAGAGAAACAAAATAAACATTTATATGAATATTACAGGACACGAATTAAAATGTTGGATGATCCGGATAAAATATTTTAATGGAATATATTGTAATTCATAAAAAGATTTCAGTCAAGTATTTTAGTGAGTCAACAGAGAGCAGAAAAATTCTAGGAGGTTAATCGCTCGTATCATTTCGCCTCACACCAAGCAACACTATTTAGTGCAGAACGTAAACGACACATTCGATCTTCGTGGCGGTTCTCCAGATTTCATTTTCGCCGGCGACGGATGATTATCGTCGTCGTTGTTCGATATCGCAACAGAATACACTGTGTTTACCGATAGCACCGCTGAAAGTCCTCACGAGGATATCTGCCTCCTCGCGCACCTTCGGGTGCACGTCCAGTTGCCGTAACATCTGCATCTTCCCGACGACGGCGAGGGGATAGTACGCGGCGATCGCTTACAGCGGCCCGAGGGTTTTCTCGCAGGACACGTACGTGTCATGAGTTTATGACAAGCCACTCTGCCACCTTGAAACGTGGCAGATAATACGCTGCCATTGGCCGATCAGCCGGTAGGCCGGTAGGCCCCGTTTGATCCGTTTTCGTACACATCTGCTGCACTTACAAAAAAGACAGATATGTATCCGCGCATTAGAAGAAGAGAGAAGAACGAGGAATTTCACATACAGTGTAAATAAAAGGAACCGGCCTTATAATTTCGAGACCGCCACTTTCGCACTGAGAAAAATCTTTCTCCATTTATTTAATTTATTTAAATGATAACATCGATAACATTTGATAGTCGTTTTTTATTTTCATCACGAGTTCATTATTTCTGTAATGTTAATCATTGGTGAAAATTAATATATTTTTAAAAGATTAAGTTTCATAAATAAAAGCTTAAAGGAATTTTTAATTACTTTTATGAAATAAAAATGTTATATGTACCGTTTATGTAAATTTATAACGCAAATATAAATTTATTTCGATCATTAAACATGCTTCCTGTATATTCCTTTATAATAATAAATAAATAATATTTATGAGAGAGATTAATTCCCTTGAGACTTTTATTTTCAATCGTTTCAAATAATAACAAATAATAAAAATAAAATATTGTATAGATGTTACTATAACAGTGCTTATGATGCATAAATTTATTTACAAAAGTTTATAAAGAACGTTCTTCATATATTCTTTTAAATAAATATTAGATATTATTTCTAAAAAAAATTAATTTCCCTGAGATTTTTATTAAAAAGAGAAGAAGAGAATATAATATATAAAAATGATTGTTTTACTTAATTACATATTTTCAATTTATAATTTGATGATAAAAAATTTATTAAATCCTTATATCTATCATTAGTAACATTTTCAGTTTAAACGTCCTTTCGCAGAATTCTGAAAAAGGAGCGAGGATAGGAATACTGAAATAATAATTCATTCGTTGCACAATTCTAATCCGTAACAAATACTCGATAAACTTTATTCCACATCGTGCATCACGTTGCTCTTCGGGACAGGTGTCTCGATTTAATATACAGATATATTTATAGTTGTATTTTGTGTATAAAGAAGCAACTCTTTTAACCTATATAAGTATATGTATTTTTTTTTAAGATGCATGTGTGAATTAAAAAATTCGAATGTGTATACGTATGGATGCATATGCGTGAACATGCGACTGTCCGTCGGAGACGTTAGAAAAAAGGCAATGGTTAGTTTTTATCCATCATGAAATCCGAATGCAAGATGAGTCTGTCAAGTCGACATAATAGGTCTTCGCATTAAATCAATTGTAGGCTGATATTCACAATCGGACCTTAGGACCGTCTTAAGTACGTCACAGTCTTAAGATGTCATGAACCAATCAGATAATCATATTAGCATCTTAAGACGATCTTAAAATATAAGAACCGAATATGAATACTGCCTATAATCTTTGCGTTATTAAGGCACTCCATGCCAGGAATATTACTTTAGCGTGCACGAATAGCAAAATGAAACACGAAACAGAATTCACGAGAAAGGTGTATAGCGGAGTCGCGAATAGGTATAAATGATCGTATATATGTACGCAGTTATCGTTAATTAAATTAAAAATACACTAAAATTAACTGGACGGCGGTCTGTCTAACACATCAATCGACCCGAATTGCTTCTACAGTCGTTGTCGAGATTGGCAGTAAAAATGTAGCGTGCGATATGATGTGATTTTTCATTGTAAAAAAGTACTCACTTTTTGAGTATAACCAGTCTCACATATTATTATTGAGAAGATTCGCGATTCTCTGCAATTCCTATAGCACAAAGTTGTACAAAAGTTGCAACATTGTATGTTGCAGCAATATTTCAGAGATTTTGCAGCAATATTGCTGCAAATTTTGTGCTGTATGGAAAGTCTATATATTATGATTTAATATATAATGTGTGAAATAAGGATTTTTAATGAGATTCCATACGCAAAACGGGTCGTTTGTAAATCTATAACAAACTAACATAAACGCTATATTTAATTATGATAAACGATAATAATGAGATTCTTGATCGCGCTTTTTATGCGACAACGTGTAAGTAATGCGTCGATCGCTTCGCGGCGTGAGATATTCGTAGCATTCTTTGTACTCTGATTACACGTGCTTTGCGTTTTCCTAGCCGCGCGACAAAAACGAAGTCTGATTCTGAATACCACTTCTCGTAATCTCGTATTTTCGTACGTGATGTGGGCAGTAATAAACAATTTTTCTTTTATTCGCACTCTCGAGTCTTTCGATGTCGAACACTGATTTCTTACTTAATTAGTAGATCCAATTGACCGGCACCCACTGATGCTCTGTGGCTAAGGCATCTAAAGCTGCGATCACTTGCCTGAATGTATTGTCAAAGTCTTCATTTACAATCACTTGATCGATGTATTTTTCATAGGCTCTCTGCAGGGCCGCAGATTCCTCCAACGTAGATTTTAAATCGTCCTCCTGTGAAATGGAGCATCAATC